GGTAACGTTGCCAGGTAAGCAAATAGTCATCTTTCGAGTGTGCGTTCTCCCTCAGAGCGCCTGTCAAATGGGAGGATGGGATTGGACGAGGCCGCTTTTCCAGGGGCAGTGGCACGCGATGCAGACGCCAAAGCCAGTTAAGCTTCTTTCCAAGCCCGCCTTCTGCGCTGTATCAAGATGGCCAAGATGATTTGTCTGTATGGTTTGTGGTTGTGGTTTGATATTGAGGTGCTTAGAGTTGTGACATACAAACAAGGCGTAAGGCAGATAATTTGACTCAAGATCGACGAGTATGAGGTAAAGAGAGATAAAGAAGCATGTTGCAGATCGCTGTGGAGTACTGAGCATCTTGTTTTGCGTTGTCTCTTTCGATACTGCACAGATTGTCATCCCTAATAACCATGTGGAATAGCTTCACTTGTGAACCACATAAAATTTGCGAATATTGGGTATCGTATCTCGGAAAATAACGTCTTCGTGTTTATCTGATATGTAGGTATCCATGTCCTCATAGGGAAATCGTTGAAACAGAACCAAACTTTCTGGTGGATTGTGATGCAAGTTGATGGAGGCAGTGGAATTACAAGGGACAAGAGGCCGCGAGTCAAAGTGGATCTAGTGGAACTGGAAATAGCGAGCACCGCCACTGAATAGATTCCTCTGTGGCTAGTAATGTCCAAGATAGAGGCCAACACAGAATGCCTCAGAGGCCTACAATTAAAACAATAAGCGCGGATAGTTACCATGTCCTGTCAATTATCTATTGCTACGCATGTCTTGTCCTACGTATTGCGAAAAAGGATTGCGGGCAGCGTGGCTCAGTATGGGCTGTGCCACGATACTATTTCTTCGGGCGCCTTTTTAGAGGACCTCACCACTGCCTCGTCATCGCCCACCAAGACGAGGGGCACGTTCCCATCAAAGTACCGATACTTGTTAGTCCAGGGCCCCAAGGGTCGAGTGACTCGCAGAAAACTGCAGCGGTCTTCAGCAGCCTCAAGAGGTTTCTGTGCTAGAATTTGCGCCATATTGCAATAGGAGAAGAATAATGAAACAGTGCTCAATATTTGATATTCCAGTTGATAAGTCTGTGATCGTACAATGAAGCATCTACTGAAGCTGATCACAAGTTTAGGTATTATTGTTCGAATTTAGAGTCTACGCGGATATTACAACCCATGTCTAATTAGTGACGGCTCACTTGAAAGACTTGAATTGACTCCATCTTTAGAGCGGCCGATCGTTTTTAACGCGACTTGACGGTTTCCCCGCGCTTATCATCTGCTCGGTTCAGTGAGAGGCTTCACATTGCCACAGCCAGCACAGATAGAGATTGTCGTTCCTTTCCCATTATGCTCGTACAGATTCCCATAATTTATTAAAACATTTTATCGCCTCTTGTAGTTCTTTTCTCCATCTGACCTTATCAAAAGTACATGTAGTACAAACAAATGCTGACGCTTGCTAATTCGCTGACGACGAGGATCTAGGCCAGGCGCCACTTCGCTTTTCGGTGTTCCCTAGGTCGACGTACGTACGCACGCAATTCAAAGTGTATCACTCACTGGAAAAAGACTACGTACACTTTGCCCTGGCCTGCTGAGATTGGCCCTTTAGGTTCGCCTCTTGATGATGAAGCTGTTGCGTAGACTTGAGAGTAGTTGACCCGTTCTCATTCAATTTGACTCAAAGAGTATTACATGTTCGGGAGGCTCATTTAATCGTTCACGATAGCGACACGCATCAATATTCGTAGGCTTCAGAGGCCCTAATATTAAATAACAACCGGAAGCCTGCAAGCACTGAATATCCATCCAACTCATCACAGACCAATCATTTCAGCCCTCATAAGGCTCAGTGGTCGTTTTCTCAGTTCCCTGAGCACTTGGAAAAGAGTACGAGGCAGCTGTACAGGTACATGCACCTGCGCCCAGCGGCCCCCACCTGGAGCAACAGTCGGCTCCCTCATTGGCCTGGCGCTCACTGCTGACGCGTAAACTGCCATCGTAGGCTCTGGCCCAGAGTGGGCAAGAGTGAACGAGACGCACACCCTCCCGAGACACCCCGTCCCTTTATTCCCCTGGTCCACCCTCGATTCTCATCGCCGCCTGCTCCTGCCTCTCCTCTTTTTGTGCTGTCTGTCTCTTTTACCTGCCTGCAGTGGTCAGCCATTCGCGAGCCGTCAACTCCTCTCCTTTAACCCTTCACACGCGGCGACGACGAACAAACGAAGCGATTCAACTTGTTTCTACGACGAAAGAGTATTCGACGATACTCACGACGGTTGAAAAAAGAAACGATTCTGGCTACCTTAGTCATCAGCTAGTCAGAGCAAGCGACACTTCCCGTAGCAACAGTCAGTTGGTCATTCTGAGGACCAAAGAATTCATCTGGACAACGCGTGTACCGCGGCAATCCGGCCTAGCATCACACACCTCTCGTTGCTGACGACGACAATTTACGATCAATATTACGACGACATATCTCGCTCCTCCGAGGTTTCTTGGGCCTCGTAAATATCAACAATTGAGCCATCAACTACCTAGCCCGGTCACGTATCTGGGCAACGACATATACTGAAACATCTATCCTCAACATCTTCATCGACGAACTATCCACTTACAAAACCACATATTAGCAGTTATGGCGGGCCAACGTACGCCTGCGGGCGAATATGGCGAGGAATGGGCCCGAGACCTTCGGGTCCAATTCGAAGGCTTGTTGCGTGACAAGCGTATGAATGATCTCCGTGCCTCATCGCGACAAGGCTCTCCGAGCTTGGGAGAGCAATCTCCTCGTATGCGAAGCTCTCCGTTCCCCAGCGATAGCCGACCCTCGACATCTCAAGGACCTGGTCTTCCCTCTTACTCCGCCCTGCGACATCTCCCCAAGATCCCTACACCTCCCGCTGCTGGCGATCGCGATTCTCAAAAATTCAGAAACCTCCTCATCAGTTTATCGTTAACACCAACCAAATACGAGAACCCCGGTCTGTTGGACGAGGCATTGCAGACCATCCCATTAGATCGCATCTATGGCGAGGCCGAGGAAGAGACTCAGGTCTTGCAAGCTCAGGCTGAGAGTATGGGTGACGGACGACGACCCGAATGGGGTTACCAAGACTGTGTCATCCGGGCATTATTAAGGTATGTCATTTTCCATCCGATCTCATTTGGATGGATTGACTAACGCAGTTGATAGATGGTTTAAGCGATCGTTCTTTAGCTGGGTCAACAACCCACCCTGCCCCGTTTGCTTATCTCCCACCATCGCCCGAGGCATGACTGCCCCTTCACCTGAAGAGAGTGCTTGCGGCGCCCTCCGTGTCGAATTGTATCAATGCTCTGCTCAACATTGCGGTGCTTTCGAGCGCTTCCCTCGTTATGGTGACGTCTGGCGGTTATTGCAAACCCGACGAGGACGTGTTGGCGAATGGGCCAACTGCTTTAGTATGCTTTGCCGAGCTGTTGGTGGCCGTGTTCGCTGGGTCTGGAACGCTGAGGACCATGTTTGGACTGAGGTGTATTCAGACCACCAAAAGCGATGGGTCCATGTGGATGCTTGTGAAGAAGCATGGGATAACCCTCGCCTATATGCTGAGGGTTGGGGCAAGAAGATGTCCTACTGCATTGCATTCTCGATTGATGGCGCTACTGATGTCACTCGACGATATGTGCGCAAGAACCAACATGCTGCTGAGCGCAACCGATGCCCTGAAGAGGTTCTTCTCTATGTTATGCAAGAGATTAAGAACATGCGCCGATCCAACATGAACAAGGACGAACGATTCCGATTGGAGAAGGAAGATAGTCGGGAAGACAACGAACTTCGAGGCTACGTTGTTGCTTCAATTGCACAGGCCGTAACTGACTTGGTCCCTGGATCACCTGGTGGATCAAACCACACTGGCGCAAGCGGAAGCGATACCAAGTTGCCTGCTGAGCAACCTGGTCGACAAACTGGCTCTACAGAATGGTTGACTGCCCAGCAGCAACAATCTGGTCGATATCAACAGCCTCGCGATCCCAGCCACCGACGACCATTGCCTTGAAAGCCGCGCGCATTCATCTTGCGACACTTTCCTAGGCACTGCGTCGGAGCTGCGTGAACGTTGACGCTTCATGATGACAATCATAGCCATATTATATCTCCACCCGGGCCAAACACAATAATACCCGCGCCCGTGGTTTAGTACGACGAACAACCGAATACCTCGATGACAGTACCACGGCCCTCAACCACACGACCTCCATGATACTATCACTTCGATGACCTTACGGCCACACACAATTATTCCCTTCATGTCTAATACTATACACCTTTGACAGCCATAGCATAGACTCGGCGTTGAACCATTTCAAAGCGGCTGCCGTCTTTGCGGCATAGCCTGTACCTACTACATCAACCTGCCTTTCGATTTCTTTTGTTACTTTTCTTTGTATAGGGGGCGCATTACGGCGGGGCATCTATGTTCCCTCAGGAGAGCAGGGGCGGGTTAGTCCCTTGTTTCGGGGCGTTTGGCTATGTTTCTTTTTGGGCTATCATGAGCGGTATGAGGCCAGTCAAAAGAGATGGATCAGTGGATGAAGAAGATAGGATAAACCAATGCCAAAGAGCAGTTCCTTTCTAAGTTGATGTATTTGTTTAATTGTGAAGTTGTTAATCGCATGCCAAAGCACAGTGACTGATGGTGTATGCGGTATCCCATTACATGAACCAACCAATTATCTCCCTACAAACCAACAGGCATTATTGAATGAACTCAATTGTCCTTTGAAACACTGGATGATTCAAAGGATTTTTTGAGATGACGTTGACGTTGAAACGCTCAAACATGCCCATGAGGAAGGAGGTTGGCACGTGACCATGTACCTGCAGCGCCACTGCCCAAAATGCTAAGGGAACCTGCCATACCCTGGAGGCAGTCGCGACGAAATCACATTTTCCATCTTCCGCAAATCTTTCTCAAATCATCACAAGACAAACTGAAATCCATCAAAATGTGGTCGGCCAGTGCGCATTCAACAAGAGTTTTGCGTTCTGCTGCTCGTGAGAACCTCAAGACGCCGCAAGAGACAGTCTCACAAGATCTGATTAACACGGTCAAAGCGGGTCAAGCATCCCAGAAAGCTATCAGCGTACAGGAAGATGCACCTTTGCCACTACCAATGAAGCGCAAAGCCCATGAAATCACAGAAGAAGATGTGTCGTACCAAACTGAGAAGGAGATGAAAGTGAAGAAACCAAAAGCCAAAAATGAAGAAAAGCGACTCCGCAGGTTCAGACCTAAGCCACCTCAGTCTTTCCATGAGATCTACGACCGGGCTCTCTCTCAGCGCTTTTACGTGCTTAATCGCGTCAGAGGAGGACCTCAGGATTGCCCTGAGGAAGATGTTGAGATGACAGGATCTACGGGAAACATCTACACTGTTCATGTTGGAAAACAGCCGCGATGCACATGCCCTCACAATGAGAAGGGCCATCAGTGCAAGCATATTATCTACGTAAGCCTCGCATTTGACTTTCCGATCGCGTTATTAACAGTGTGGTAGGTCATGAAGCAAGTCCTCAACGCGCCTTTTGATCTCGTCTACCAACTCGCGCTTCTGAGCACCGAACTTCAAACAATCTTTGCTTCAGCACCTCCCATCTCCGCACCCGGACAAGGAGAGTCTGACAAGCGTAAGCCCATCGATGGCGATTGTCCCATCTGCTACTGTGAGCTTGACGAGAAGAACCAAGAGTCTATCGTTTGGTGCGCTGCCGCCTGTGGTCAGAACATTCACGAGGGGTGTTTCAGAATGTGGGCGCAGACGAAGCCTGGCGCTGGAAACGTGACTTGTCCCATGTGCCGCAGTGTCTGGAAGGGTGATGAGAATCTGGTGGCGAGGGTTCAGAGGGATAAAGGCAATGTTGAAGAGGGGTATGTCAATGTTGCGGATCAACTTGGCATCAGTCGGGAGAGAGGTATGTTAACTTGCATGTGTGAGGATTGTTCTGATACTAACTGTGGTTTAGATGAGTCGAGCTATTCGCGATGGTATGGAATCCATCAGAGACGTCGAGACCCAAACTGGCGTGGTGGCAGTTCTTATTATGCAGAGTGGTGAAGACCGTAGTCGTGCGGTGCAGATGCGAAGTGAACAATTCTTTGCTCTCATATGCGACAGGGCCAATGTCGCTTTGATGTTTCTTTTATCGAAAAGTATGATGGCAGGAGTTTTATCTTTTTTTTTTGTTTTGCAAGGCGTTCACGGTAACACGGGTTACCCAGATTTGTTGCAGTCATTGCAGTTGATGGCAGTCGGACGATAGAGGTTTCCTCTGGTGATGGAAACTCTCAACGGTATACGCACCTTAACGCAACTCGAAGTACTATGTAGTCCTGATCTTCTAGAGTACCCGTAGATTGAGCGGATCTCATCGAAATGCGCAGGGGTTCGAGGACAGAATGAACTGTAGATATATGCCTTGGTGACAGTTTTCAAGGATATGTTGTTCCAGGAGTTAGCTTTCCTGTCTCATGTCATCTAGCTCTCCGCCGTCTAGTTTTACCACAAGCAAAGTCCGCAATATGGGCATGCTAGATTGGTAGTTGGGGCACCGAGAGGTCACCGGCGGTGGAGTTCGGCGGTTTCGGTGGGCCCCCCGAAAGTCCCCATCCCAACCGCCGAGGCACCGACTCCGCCGCCGGAGCACGACAATAGACGTAAATAAAGAACCGAGATCCGCCGTTAATATCACGGAATTACAGATTTTCACTCTAGCATCTAGCGGACTGAACTACCCCAAAATCACGATGTCGAAACTACCATCTACCACTCGAACTCTTGTTGCACCAAAGAAGTGTCTCCCAGCAGAGTACATAGTCATAGAGCAGCCGATACCGAAAATCACCAAGCCAAATCAACTTCTTCTTCGTATGAAAGCTGTTGCTATCAACACGGGTGAAACACAATTTGTGTCTGGACAATTTGACTTACTCTTCAAGGCTTCGTAAGTCAACAGCACTCCTAACCCTAACTCAAACCATAGGCTTATAGAAGTACAGTGATTTCCCCCTCCCATTTGGAATGGAAGGCTCTGGCGTTGTTGTGGAGATTGGTTCTGCTGTCACAGAGTTCAAAGTCGGAGACGAAGTTTACGGCATGGAGTTCGAGAAACCACATCTCACTAGACCTTTCCCAGCTTGGACCTCAACATATGCCGTCACAGAACCACAGTTCCTTCATAAGAAACCGGATCATCTTTCCTTTGAAGAAGCTGCTGCCACCCCAGCTCTCGCGGTCACTGCATACCAGAGTATCAAGCGTGGATTACAGCTTCAAGGAAGGGATAGTCTAGCAGGACAGACTGTTTACATACCCGCTGCTCTCAGCGCATCTGGAAATACGGCTATCCAAATTGCACGGAACTACTTTGGTGCTGAGAAAATTATTTCAACTGTCTCAACGCCGAAGATGGGATTGGTTGAAGAATATCTCCCTGGAATGGTTACACAACTCTACGACTACAAAACCCAAGATATCGTCAAACTCATCGGCCGCGGCACCGTCGACTTCGCAATAAGCACCCAATTCTCCACCCTAAATGAAAGCATATCCGTTCTCAAATCCGACGGCATCCTCATGAGCATCGCCAGTCTTCCGAAAAGTGAAGTCATGGCAGAAATGCTCGGTCCGAAATTCCCCGCATGGCTTGGTTGGATTCTTGATTTCTTACAGTACTGGTACACCTGGAAGCTTCGCGGTACAGAGATTCAGTATGAGTTTATATCGGGACATCCAGGGCATCGGGGGGATATGGAGGTTGTGGCGGACATGGTTGCCAAGGGGATGGTCAAGACTGTTAATACGGCGGTGGATCTGGATGATTTGGAGGAGGTTAGGAGGGGGTGTGAGAGGACTTTGAAGAGTAAGGGGGGAATTGGAAAGTTTGTGGTTCGCCCTTAGCGGTGAAGACATCGGCTTTTGTGGTTTTAGGGGGATCATAGGAGCTGTAGGTTGAAGGAACTGAATGTAGTAATTGTATAGTGTCTCTAGTTCAACTCGTATCCAAGATCGTGCCGAGTATTGCATCCGAAAAGGAATCTCGCTAGCCCTGTAATTCAGCCTCCAACACTGGAACCGAGGGACGAGAATACAAACAGAACCGTGTAGAAGGGGGTAGAAGGTGGGAAAATACCCTCAGAGTGTAAAACAAAAACTTTATTCGTTATCGTAACAGCGTGTCCAAAAGAAAAACCCTCATAAGTCGGCTGGTTTCAGTAACACCCTCCTCTCCTTGGTGAAGTCTTCACGATGCTTGGCTGGCAGCTAGAGATAGTCTGTAGGGGCCCGTTATTAACGCCTTCCTTGCTCAAAGTATGCTTGGCCATGACATGTAACTCCCAGTGGTCTCAAATTAATATATACTTACAAAACTAACGCCCGTGCCTCTTGAGAAACTCATTGTCGGAGGCTACGACGATCATGGTGGAAATGATGATGAAGATAACAAGTACGATAAGTTCCTCTGCATTTGTCTTCCACCACGGCTCTTCCTTTTCAGGTTTTGCGGGCTCGACGATTACTTGTACTGGCTCTGGTTTTGGCTCCGACATGAGCTCGTCTTGAGGCAGTACAGCTGTTTTTTGAGGTGGTGGAGAGCTCTTTCGGCTAGATGCCATTGATGAGCCTGGAGTAGCCTTTCGACTTGAAGAAGCTGACTTTTTCTTCCTCGACATGGTGGTGTGTAAGTGTGGCTTTGTGTTGAGAAGAGATGATGCGTGGTGATGGGTGAGTGATGGAACAGACAGGATGGGAAGAAACAAGACAAATTTGTACCCTCGCAAGTTCTGAGATCTCCATGGGCCTTAAAGTTATTTATTTCTTGGTCGTGAAGAACGATGAAGGTTAATATTAAGCATGAGAGGAGAGAAAACTCGAGACCTAATCCTGAATATTGAGTGACAAAAATACTCAGGTAACTGTAGTGTAAGCTCAGGAGGTTCTCTAACTAATTATTATTGGCCCCTTATTTACAGGTCCTGTTTTTGGCTTCCCGAGGAGCATGAAAGACTGCGCGATAAGTGTACCAAAGCCTATCGTTAACAAGGATGAACGTGTGAATCAGATCTTGGTCCAAAATCGAAGAAGAGATGGCATCGAATGAGCTTGATGTAAGGTTGGGGAGAGTTTCAAGAACCAATCAGAATCTTTGCTTCTTCTGAATAAGGAAGCTTCCTCGGGTAGTGCCCCATTTTTGCTTGGCCACTTCCCATTCCCCAAGATAAGATGGCGGATATCACTAAGGAGTTGATCCTAGTGAAGGACCTTCCTTTCACCAATGCGTTTTTGGTGAGAGAAACCTACTTGAGATCTTCAATCTTCGATCAAGCCAAGAATATCGACTATCATGCAAAGTTTACCAAGTTCACATTTATTTTAGGCAGGTTTGTCATTCTCAAGTTGCCTTATTAGTAGGTATCTTGCCTGTCTTCTATGGCCAAGATCTCAAGTTCATTCGGAAAGGTCACATGAGCATGTTGTCTTTCCGCCGTGAGATGAGAAAGTGATTCCTTCCTCTGTTACCCCTTGGTCTCATATTTCCTCCTGACCAAACACTCTTCACTTGACACTTGGCTTTTACACTCTTCATCTCCATGATATTCATTTCGATAACATCATTTTTTCGATCCAACCTCTACTTGATACACTGATCGAGCAAAGAACACACCATGCCTCAAATCAATCTGGCAACAAGAATACCCCAAATCTACGACACGACCATCATTGTTGGTGCTTGTAGAGTGAATACTCCCAATGCTCGGACTGAAACTGGTGCTTTTGACCCGAACCATTGTTACTGGCGTGAAGCCTGCATGGACATGGAGCGCCTCACAGGGCGTGTATCAAGCAACGAAACAGAAAATGTTGAACTCGGTTGCCATCAGTCATGGATAAGTGTTTTGCCAAAAGAGGGTTTTCTTCAGACCCACCCAAGCGACATGATAGACAGAATACTTGAACATATCCTTGATGCTTGTGACCTCGCAAGACAGAAGCCCCTGCCTTCTCCGATCCTCGTTATCCTCTATGGCCCTGGAAATCCTGCACTCGGTTGTTATATGAACTGCAGCAAAAGCTTCCATGACCCTGCTGCAGTCCTCACCCCTTCCAGGATTCTTCAAGCATTACCGCGAGACTGCGAGGTTACTTTGGCCATGCGCATGACTGTTCCGTTGTTTTGGGGGCGCCGTTATGCATTTAATACAGACATCCTTGACACTGCTGATACTCCTCTTGATATTGTCAAGGTGGCCGCCGCGGATGGCAGATTGACAAAGCAGGCTTTCCCCCGAGAAGACGAGATTTGGAGTTACCGATTTTTCGTGAACGAATTACATTCCATGCACCGTCACCACGAGCTTGCACTATTACTTCAACAATACCCTCAAGACACAGATGGCATCTTGATAATCGACGACCGAATTTAGGAATTCGCAGGCTCCGACCCACAGGAAACGGACCTGCAGCTAAAATGTCGGGAAGCCGTGTTAACATCGGTTGTGCAGTTCCGATTGAAAATGGCTGTTTTCACAGATACCATGGTTGCCGAATTCAAGCTCAAACGGCCTTTCAACCAGACTTGCCTTGAATGGGATATGCCTGGATGGCTCCAACACCGATCAAATGTCACGTATTCGTCCCTGCTTTACGAATTTTTCAAGCAGGACAAGGCGTTCGAGGATGGAACGCTATGCAGTGGCTATACACGCTTCCGCCTTTATGTGCGTGCAGCCCTCTGCGAGACCTACAGAGGCGATGCAATGGCGTTATGGCCAATTGAAAACATCGAAAACATACTAAATGAGCTTCTACGTTGCTTTGATGAGGCATTCAATAAAGCGGATGAACTGGCCTGTTTCTACATCAAGATAGCTGATAGAGCCAAACAGCAGTACGGGGATGGAGTAATGTCGCCTAATATGCCTCCAGGTCGGGTTGAGGGTATGCGCAAAACAATCGAATTCCTAGAAAAGATAACTATCGATGTTTTCGCAACATGGGACCCTCATGGTCGGCTGTACACGCCGTCTGAGACTGACGACGAGGAACCAGGCGAGGAACAAGACGAGGAACAAGAGTAGAGATAGTAAATAAAGACAGACATTAATAATTTAGGCTTCCTTTCACCAGCAACCAAAACTACGGTCGAGGTTACAAGAAACGGTAAGCGTATTCGGTTCTCCGAGGTCTGTACCACTCTGTGTAACCAGGAAGGAGGGCAAATGTGTAACTCGTAACACTATCGTAGCACTGCCTCGAGGCAAAAGGGCCACCAAAGGAAGAATACAGCTCTGATGAAAGCCTGGAGGATACGAAAAGAGAGAAACAGATTTGGGGTTATCAAGACTCTGCTCCAAGTCAGTGAAAAGGAACTACCAGATTAGCCAAATGTTATATACTAGGCATCTAGAGTAAATCATATACTGTGATGAAGTTAAGGTAAAAAGTCCAACCATACCTCAATCAACAATATAGAGTATTATGAACGTACTGTAATCTTAGATGCATAATCTATAATCTATTGGGCCCCGAGGCCCAGGTATTTATTACATCCGTTACACCCCGATTTCGTCTATCTCTTTGTCCCTTACAACACTTCTCCGCTCGATCCCTTCCAATGTCTACTGAAGTAATCGTCGCCATTGTCTATTCCACTCTTGGCTTGGCCGTGTCATGTGCTGGTTTGTTCTTTGCGTATAAGTTGTATAGGGACAATAGGTCTCGTTGGAGGGAGGCTTTGAGATGGATAAATCCATTCTCCTGAGTGTTCTTGGAGCTGGAGTTCGTGTCGGTACAGGTTGGTAATAGTCCATTCGAGTAAATTTGATTTCTCTGAGAGCTAATTTATAGTGGACAGTTGCATCAGGCTGCTTGATGAACGTATGGAGTTTGTCCACTCAACCAAGTGAGAGAGCCTCGTTTGGTGGGGGGGGCAGTGGCTTAGGGACACCAGTTGTGTCGTAGGCACCGCGGCCCATATTGAAGCGTTGAAAAGCAGCGCATTATCAAATTGTATCACATTTTTGTTCAAAGTATTATGGTACACGCTCAGCATGTTCCAATACTCGAAATTGGCTCGGTTCAAGGCAGTGTTGACTTGTTGCTGGTGGTAGTTGGAGGACATCACCACTCGTCAATGTCCTCTCTGAATCTGTGTGGGACAATGCACTGGAGGACAAACAAGTCAGGCTCAACTCATGGAAAGGCGATGAGATATGCATGCGAACCTCGGAGGAATTGAAAATGCCCTTGGAATCATGAAAAGCATCGCGGCTGTTTCGATATCGCTCGGGGGGATGGGTCTTCGATGTAGTGCTAGGTAGGCGAACCAAGCACTTAGACAAGAAACAATCAATCCGGGAATTGTGCTGACGAGGGTAATGATAGCATCCGTTGATAATTGAACCATATTGAAAGGATGCGATTGTGAACTGGAAGGATATAAAAGCTGCTTGGGTGAAAGCTTTGGGTTTGTGGTTTCTGTCATGTCATCACTAACCTGGCTTCGTTGACCTTATATGCCTTTTCAGTCGAGGTGAGTCGTGTTGCGACTCGTATTGGGGGAGCAAAGCGTACTCCTGACACTTGCCTCATCGGGTGGTAGAAGCAGGGGGGCGTGGCGTGGCGTGGCAATCTAGCGATGTGCAAGCTTGGTTACGGGTAACTAGAACATGGAACGCTCTCACCACCCAATGAGGCAATTGGCAGGGGGTATGCACTGTAATTGGATGGTGGGTATTTACCTGGGACTTAAATATGCCACCCTCACCGGATGGGTCCATGAGATCGGTGGAGCAAGAGACAAACTGCGGGTGAGTCGAAAAGACACCACACTCAAGTCTGGAGTTTCATTGACCAAGGTAGTCATATCTATCGATCATACCAAAAGAAGTTGTCGGGTCGAAAAGAGGCGACGCAGTAACAACATAATGGTGTGGGGAGAGAAAGTTGGAGTGAGGAAATCAGGGTCTGATTGCATCTCCACCAAACGGTGAACATGGCGTGCCTTACATAGTAGGAAACGCCTAATACTGCAGCCGTCTTTAGGTGCATGCATCTTCATGTGGATTATATTAGAAAGACCGCCTGTCATACAGAGTAAGCACATGTGGTATCGTAGCCTAGAACGAGGTTTGCCTTATACTGTGATGAGCGCTTCGAATACCATCGACGTGAATAAACAAGCTTGGACTATTTTAGTTCCCGTCTTAAACGTGGGGAGGCCTCATCTCCACTGTTAGTTATACTTCAGCTTCAGCTCTAAGAAATTGGTTTCTATATGGATGGATGGCATGCAAGAGCAGAGGGGAATTGGTTGGCATCAAATTGGCAGAAGATATCTGGATTTAGCTCCTTACGAGTATTGATTTCAATATATATACACTCAAGAAAATATTCTAACATAGACTGTTCCCAAAAGCCCAAAACACCGATATCCATCCTGTCACGCTGCAACTGGATCCGGGCGTCGCAAGTTGTTCTGCCTTCCGAATCGTGGTGGTGGTAGAATCTCAATCTGTCTGTGCCCTTGTCCGTTTATGTGTCGGTAGACCGTAGGCGGCAGCTGGGGTAGGTTTTCGCTTGGAAATAAGATTTCAGTTGTGTTTTGATGTGAGGACTGCATCTTAAGGCTGTGGATGAATCAGATACAGACAAAACACCGTGGGTGGAAAATAATATTCATACCTCGACCGAGTTGTACTGAATTGTGTAATGATGAACTCGATAGTGGCGGTCTCAATGTCGTTACGGGCTACATGTCGACGCGGAAGAGCAAGGTATGCAAACCAAGCACTTAGACATGACATGAGAAGCCCTGGGATTGTACTAAGGATAGTCACAATTTCTCCTGTTGAAAGACCACCCATGATGGAGAGATAGATGTGTAGTTCACAAAGACATCCCATGGAAATGAAATTCCACGCCCAACTTAAGTACCCTTTATAGCTTGAGGAGGAGCATTGTCCAGAGGCTTAGTTTCTGCCGTTGCTGCAGAAGACCCGGGGTTAGAGAGCGAATGTGTAACATTTTTAGTGTTTGTCATTGGCTGTATTTGACCAGAATCTCTGGTTCTATCTAGGCTTACAGGTTGCAGGGGTTATAAATATGTATATCGCGCCTTGTTGGTCACAATGTGCAGGTACCTATGAGTGTAGGGATTTACGACCTAGTGGCAAGTGACTATTAGTATATTAAGATACCTAACTATCTTAAGATCCCCTGTAACAAATCAGAATATCTTACAAGATAGGTATAACCTCTCTTCAGCCTCTAATGAATTCAGCAGCAGCCTTTATACCTACAGTACCGGACCACAATCGTAGTACATTTCCAACCCCTGTAACCTATACCAGGCACTAAATCTATGACTGATATGGGCTTCAGGTAGTTAACCGTACCGCTTTCACGGGCTATTTGTATGGAAGGTATTGAGATATGGATACTGAGAAGAAAGAATTAATGATACATTTCAATATGTCGTCATTTTTGTGCCCTCACTGTGGTAAGGGACCTGTACTACAGTGCCACTGCCAGGGGATACAAAAGAAAACTTGAAACTTCAGACTGTGATTTCGGTGAATTTTAGTGTTAGCGAGTGCCAGGTTCCCTTCCAATGGTGCCTCTCCCGCAATCATTATCCACCCTTATTACCGCCAAGTTTTCTCATTGCTCAGCCTACAACGCTACATGGGGCACTCTACATAAGGGCTGGCACCAACGACCGCTGATCTGACCCTCTCGAATGGTTGCCCGCATATCCATCATCCTCCAGCCATGGACCCCCAACCCTTCATACTCCAAGCTCGTTTCCTCACAGCCACTGGGACAAGAAACCTCGACGCTGACAGTACAGTATGTGGCCATGCTTGGAACACTATGCTCATGACGTGCCGCACACCTTCATACACTGAGTCAAGGATTGATTGCAGCGATAAGCTTGCAAAACCGAGGTTCCTTTCGACCTTCTAGAAAGTTTCCACTTACAGACTACCCAACCAAGAATCGGCCGAGGAACAGATAGAGCTGAGTAGTGATGGTGACCTGTTGACGGACTCAGCTTCAGATAATAAGAGAATATTAGTGTGATATGTGGAAAATAGCAGATTCTGAACTAAGATGGCCATTGTAATTTCATGCCCGGAGCAAGAGTCTCTGTATAGATCAGATACATATCAGTCAACTACCGTAAGGTAGCGCGACGATTGGCGTGGGCCATTAACGCGTCCAACGTCACCAATTAAGCGCGTCATGTCGCGCAGCCAACTCGAGCCCCACAGTCTCAGTTCCCGTAAAGAGGTTGATCTATCTCACCTCATCATCTATTTACCAGCCTAACATCCATTGTAACATTACCCTAATTGTTTCGATTCTCCTTTATACAATCAAGAGCCTCTTTCTTCTTCATAACCAAAATGGCCCACAAGCGCAAGCGATCTGTTTCTGAGCTCTGCGCCTCTCCTTCATCAGTCTCATCCTTCGACTCTCCTCCTCGACTCGGCAACTCCATCACCAACCCTTTCGCGATCATGGCATCGACACCAATTCATCTTCACAGTCGAACTATGAAGCGATTTCGTGATAACCGACCTTCAGAGGAGACAATTCATCGTAGGTTTTGGTATATATAACCGTGCACTGTATATATGCTAATTGAGTTTAGAACGTACACTCAAGATGCTTTACTCGGCGCAGAACCAGCATCAACACACTGAGCTTCCACCGGAGAACATACAAGCGCCACCTGAACCTACTCAACCTGAATCAAACCAACAATCTCTCCACCGATTTTGGAATATATCCTCGGCACCTTCCGCTTCGACCACCAACCTAGGCCAAACACAATTTGCCCCTTCGAACTGCGACGATTGCGGCGCTGGTCTGACCGGTGGTGATGACGGAATGGAGATCGATGGCCTTGACAACGAGGATCACTCGTGCGGTGCCTGTGGCAAACGCGTTTGCTTCAGCTGTTCTGTGAGCAACCTAGGCGAGCAACGACGTTGTCTACAATGCGCCGGCCGAAACGATCGGTCTACACGCGCGGCATGGAATGGGGTCACTGCATCAATGTTTTGATTGGATATTGTATGGAATTGGGCAACGGGAAAGGATTGGCGACACTTTGGGTTTTTATAACGGCGTTCAACTCAGGCGGCACAGAGGGGATACCATTTGCACCATTGCTTCGAATAGCATCATCGGCAGGTTTTGTGCAACACATTTACATAGGTAGTCAGCATCGCACGTTCTCGTGTAACATTTTTTGACAAATATATGTCAAAATGACATAATCAGTCATCTCAAAGCCAAAGCACGTAACAGAGTAAAATCTTATTAAAAATGACCATTACAAATTAAGTCTATAAAGCAAACGCAGCCACACAAAAGAATCTAGCCATCTAACCACGTCGGCGAGTGGTAGGGCTCTTCTTGGGAGTAGCAGTGGTAGAGGAAGAAGGAGTCAGAGTAGAAGCAGGCTTGGCTGCAAAGGGAGCAGCCGGCTGCTTGCCCTTGGCCTTCTCAGAGGGAGCGTTCCAGTAAAAGATCATCTGGAGAGCAAGAATGGCGTTGAGGACGAAGCCGGAGACGAATCCGTAGAGAATGAGCTTGTCGTCGACCTCCTGGAGGGTTGTGAAGATTCGGGACAAAGAACCGGCGAGGTAGTTGAAGACCTGAATTAGTGTTAGTTGGTAAATGCATGACTAAATAGGCGTAGAAAGTAAAATTGACTTACAGCGAAAGCACTCAGCTGACCAGTACCACCCTGCTGGAAGATGGTGAGGATCTGAGGCAGCTTACTGGCAACGCTCAGAACACCAGCACCAGCCTGGAGATAGCTCAAGGTCTGCGCATCCACAACATTCTCAGCAAACAGCGTACCAACAGTTCCAGCAAGCGCAGCAACAAAGACAGCAGCCAGACTGGCGCGACCGCTATAGTTCAGAACAAGCACCGAAATGATAACGTTTTGTCCCACGATCAAGGCAGTCTCGCCATAGGTGCTGAAAGGAAAGCCATTTCGGAAGTTGTAGGCGAGCGAGATAAGGTATGACGCTGTCTCGAGCAGGTATGAGAGGAACGATACACCCTCGGCGGACTTGGAGTTGAGGAGCTTCAGGATCTGGGGGACCTTGACGATGGATGAAGCGGCGATGATACCGATGCCGAGAGCCTTTGAGACAGCAAACTTGATGCAATCGGCATCTTCGATGTTGACGTCGAGAAGGAGAGATTTGTAGCACGTCTCGCCGATGATGGAAACGCCCAGATCGCGAATCGGCGCGGGGAGGTTATGCGTGATGGGAGTGATGGCAGATTTGAGGGCGTCCATGGTGGTCTGATTTGCTAGATACCAAGAATAACGTAAAAAAGGTGTAGAAGAGAAGCTGATCAAAGCTCGGCGATTGTACAAGGAAGTATTTCAGAAGGAGTGTGAAAGAAGTGGACAAAGACGTCACAAAGCTTGTGGAATTGCTTGTTTCAACTTTACTTTCAGAAGAAGAGGCCAACAGTACGTGATGAAATTGGAGATGACCGTTACCTTATTGGAGCTAGTGGAGTCAACCCTGGTTCTGCCCTACGGCGACAGTTCAAAGTGGCTTACCCTAGAGACTCAAGCTCAACCACCGGTGTCTGGTCCGGCTTTTCGGAACAGATTTGTTTGGCTGCGCTCTTGATTAAAATGGTACCCCATGTTCTCGAATAAACAATGACATCAGCGCCCGATTGTTTCAAAGATGCTTGCTCATTCTCGTGTTGTACAGTCCCGTTCACAAAATCATCCGAATAAACTGATCTATCAGCCTCAAATGACGCCAAGGAACATTTAAGAATCTTCGAGATTATTCAGCCCATATCAAATCACCTCACAGATCTTAGTGGAGGGTTCAGCACACCGTTTTTGCGACACAGCAAGCAAAAGTACAAGTAAGCTCAGCCTCAAGAGGGAACCAACCAGGTTTGAAAACAGCTATTTTCGTGTTATTGGCTTAGATTACCTTACACAGCCATAGACCGTTGCGAAAATGAAGAAGAAGAATCCACTTCTTCTTCGACTTTTTGTACTGCCCGACCTAAGATAGATTGCTCCTCGTGGGAGGGATCACCCGGGACCTACAAGAGTGATGCACGTGTCAGGCCACGAGGGGCCGGCAGTGAAGGGCTGCTGTGATGTGATATGATGTCTGTTTGCGTTATGATATGTCAGGTTATGCTATGTTATGTTGTGATTGTTTCTCGGAAGTACGCTGTCATTGTAGATTCCGATGGGGACGGGATAGTTATAAACACCGCATAAGTTAACAAGACAAGGCAGTGTAACAAAGAGATTGAAGAAACAAAAAGGATACCGTAGATCAACATGGCAAATAGCCCCGATGATACAAGAGTCAGCTGCTTATTGTGCTATACTGTACCTCTGCTAAAAGCAACCTTTTGTCAGCCACCCGCAGTCTCCCAGGCACATCCATGTTCCCCATGTAAGAGACCAGTCAAATCATGGAACCAACTCTTTTCCTCTCTCACAAGCAGCAGCAGCAGCAGCACTAGCAAGCGTCTTTCTTCTTCTGTCTTGTCTCTTTGTGCCTTGTTTACCGTTGCCTTGTTCTTGTGCTCGTGCTTTTTTTCTTCCCCTTGAATTAAATAAAGATCCTCGTCTTTCTGCCCACTTCTTCGCCAAGTCTACCCCGGTCAACTCTGCCTGGCATTGCCTTGCCTTGCCTTGCCTTGCCTTTTGACTCAGGTAGTTTAGGTTGTCATTGTCATTTCATCAGCTGGGCTCCATTTCATATAAGGTATTGGATCCCAACCTGAACCTGACGGGACTCGATCGGGTCTGTGCTACTTTGCACTTTTTGCGACTTTTATCGTCGTCTTTGCCTTATTATTTCTCTTGGTTGTTTTGAAGAGTCTTATCGAATGCACCATCGTCCTCGTTTACGGCATCATTACTACTTGTCCATCCTGGATATCGATATCGACCCGCTGACCGCCATCCACGTTTCCCCGCGATCTGCCCTGGATGTGAGCGCGCCATCATCGTGATCTTTTCTCGACAACCTCTCTTCTCACCTTCATCTTTTACCTCACCATTCGTCTTTTACTCTTCAAGTATGGCGGCCCCTCCAAAGACAGAAGCCCCGCCGGGCGCAACTTCATCAACCCCGCCGCCTCCGGCTATTGAGTATTCGTATATGTATGAGAAGGATAAGAGTCCTTCAAAGCTATTAGATGCTCTATTAAGAGCTATTAGTCGTCATATTGTATGCGCGCACCTTTTATTTAACCACTTGATTTGAAAATTTGTCAATATTCGAAAGATCGCATGCTAACCACCTTACGTCATAATAGATACTCGAGATAGGCGATAAAACCGTTTGTCACCTTACCCCGGAAAAGATGGCCGCCTTCTACAGGGCTGTTGGAGGCGATTATGACTGTAAGTTCCATAGTGACTTTGTGCAACATGGATCCTAACGTTTAAAGCTCTATTTGAAATGCCCCACGAGTCCATCTCATACATCTGGCAGGTTACTGGATGTCAACACACACTACAACCAACCGACGACGATTTCGCACCACCGTCAATACCTGCCCTCACCGCCCGAGGCTTTTCACGATGGGAATCTCTCGAGATTCTTCTCGGTCCCGAGGAACACGTTCCTTTCTTACAGTTCGCCGTCAAGAACTGGCAGCTAAAACATCCCGAGACCGGCCAAGACTTTCCGGCCGACCTACCTCCAACTGTATTCCCAACACAAGCCGACGCCGAGGTGGATCGATGGCACAAGTCATGCGCTGAGAAGTTACGAAAGGAAGCAAACGCTCGAGAGAGGGAGGCATACAGAGAAGCTGCACGAGAACCAACTGGGCCGGGTGAACCTCCCGAAGGACCAGAGCCCAAATTCGCCTACTCCCACGTGAGAGGAAGTGCATTTGCTGGACCCCGAGCCAGGCCTGAACGACCGTTGTACAATCATGTGCCGGGCAGACATGCAGGAGGGCGGCCAACCAGACCTTCACCTGAGAGGTACAACAGCCGCTCTGATGAACATGCCCGACGACGAAGCTTCTCCGACTATAACCAGCAACCTTCGCCAGACGTACCACCACATGCACCGCATGCGCCCTCAGGGTCTTATCTCGACCCTCATGCGAAGCGGCCCGCACCGCCTCGTCGACACAGTCAGCCCAGGCACTACTCTTCAGATTCTAGTGATGATGAGCCGGTACCTCCTCGTGCAAAGAGAAGACCTGAAGCAAGCCCGCCTTCGCCGACGACTCGTCGATATTCACCTACGAATGATCGCCCACCTCCTGTTGCTAGCAATCCACCACCGACATTCCGGCCTCATCGCGCAGATGGCAGAGCTTCTGACGATTCCACTCGCCGAAGATCAACACACAGCCCCAGCCTGCGAGAAAAGCTGACCGAGAAAGTCTCAAACATTCTCCCCAACGGACTCAGCACCAACCCAGATCGCACTAGAAATCCGCCTAGAGCCCCATCTTACAACACGGACTCTTCCCGCGGACGCCGAAGCCGAGACCGAATTCCTCCATCTCGACTTAGCAGAAGCTACTCCGACATATCAGGGGCTTCCTCAGAAGCAGAGTCCAGCGACGAAGATTTCAAGCGATCAAGGCGAATGCGCGAAGAGCGAGATAGAGAAAGGGAACGAGACCGTGAGCGGGAAAGGATTCGCGACAGGGGTCGGCAGCGGGAGCTTGACCGGGAAAGAGAAGAAGAGAGACGTGATCGGTACCTGCGCCGACCAGACATGGAGAGACGAACTAGTAGCCATGCAGATGCCGAGCGAAGACGTGACTATCCCGGATGGGATCCGCGATCTGAGAGGAAGAGATGGGATAAGCGCATGCCGCCTGATGAGCGGGGGACAAGTCCCCTTGGGGTTTCTGGGAGACGGTATGCTGAGCCGGCGTACCCTTAGTCTGGGGTATGGATTTAATACCGAGAATGGTATATACGTCAAGTGTTGAGCATTGAGAGCGATATTGAGCATTTTGAGATTTCATATGGATCTATCTTGGATATAACGAGATATAGGGTTTGCAGAATATGGCGTCTGGATAGACTGAGGGAAATAATGGCTATGAATACATATACTCCTTGAAGCAATAAGCATTTATTCCTACCAGGTTACTTTGGTCTCATTTTATTGATTTATGCCTATGTATTTTATATGACAGCAGTAAGATCTTATACAACTCCAACTACAGCATTGTTTCTCTACAACATCATCAAAACAGCTCCATTGACAACAAAACAGCCTCCTCCACTGAGCAGCCCCACGGCTACGCCATGGCTCCATGAAAGTGCCGCGATCACGGTAACTAAGCCGGTCCAGAGCGGGCTTCTCCCGGGGTTATAAGCTACAAGGGTTCCTCACAGCCTGGCCCCTCATCAAGCTCAACCAAAATCCAAAACCCCTCTCACTAGGCGAGCCAACGAGAAATGTCGAATTGCCATCAAGGGTCTCGTAGCAGGCCAAGACCTTTTTTTCAACAAAATGAATGCCGTTCTTCACGGGTAGCGGGCCGAGAAATGGAGCCTCAACTTACAACTTTATAACAGTGCTCAAGAGATATGAAATCGTAGGGTGTAAGCTGGTATTATGATCTACGTTCAACAGTCAGGTCTGTTGAGTGACAGCATATGGTTCCATTCCCATCTGCATCCCCTCCCCCGTCTTAGAAGATCATCGCCAGGTTCTAGTGGATCTCGGTAGACGCGGTTTAGGACGGTATTCAATGGTAATTCAACAGTCTAGAAAGCCTCCCGAAAGCCGAGACTACCGGGGCATATATCCCCAAGAGTTGAGAGCTGCTGCATGTATGTTTTGTATGTATGTAATTGCCTGTGTTTAGGACCGGAGACTGACCGAGGTCGGCCGTGGGGGGCATGAGTGAGGCGTAGCTATAGAGCTCACCAACAAGAGCTGGTCCATTCATAATGCTAGAGTTTTGGGCTCTTTCGATTAGTCTAAGGTGTTGTAGCTCTGTACATAACTTGTCTTGGTTTAGTGCCTCATGCTGCTGCAGCTCACTCACAGCTAATCTACTGTCCCTCTCTCGATTGACTTTGACCAATTCACTCACTTCTTTCATCTCACATTCTCTATTTTCATTTCTTTTATCTTTACTCATCTCACAATGAAGCCCGGTGCGTCTCTCCGTCTTAGAGCCCTTCGACAGGTTACACCCAGTAACCGTTTGTCTCTCCCCGCTTCGGCGAGATGGCAACATTCCCGGGCCATGTCAACAGTTGTTGACTTTCATCCTCGACCTTCGCAACCGCCGCCTCCTCCGGCTGGAGCTAATGAAGCGGTTGAGAAGCAGAGGGCCGAGAAGAGAAAGCAGATTCTGAGAGAGGCTGTTACGGCGACTCAGGTTCGACATGACTGGACCAAGGAGGAGATTGCGGCCATTTACTACCAGCCTGCCCTTGAGCTAGCATACCAAGCTGTAAGCACATCTCTTCTAATTTGATCGTGATTGTGACTGCTGTTGTCGTTCAATGTTGACCTCAATTGATGGACATATCTTACGGAGAAACACCATGACTAACACAAACTCTTAGAGCACCGTACACCGTCGATGGCACAACCCCGCCGAAGTGCAACTCTGCACTTTGATGAACATCAAGACAGGCGGTTGCACCGAAGACTGCTCCTACTGCGCCCAATCCACCCGTTACCAAGAAGGCACAAAGGTTCCCGCTAAGAGAGTCGAGAGCGTCGAAAGCGTACTAGCAGCTGCGCGAACAGCCAAAGAGAAGGGAAGCACCCGGTTCTGCATGGGCGCCGCATGGAGAGATATGCGTGGTCGCAAGAACAGTTTGAAGAACATCAAGGCTATGGTTGAGGGTGTTAAGGGTATGGGTATGGAGGTCTGCGTGACGCTGGGTATGATCGATGCAGAGCAGGCAAAGGAGCTCAAGGCCGCGGGCCTCACGGCGTACAACCACAACGTCGACACTAGTCGTGAGTTCTACCCGTCTGTTATTACAACACGCAGCTACGACGAGCGATTACAGACGCTGAGCCACGTGCGCGACGCGGGTATCAAGGTGTGCTCAGGTGGAATTCTCGGTCTTGGTGAGAGCAGCGAAGATCGCGTTGGTCTTCTTCACACCGTTTCAACACTCCCAAGTCACCCGGAGAGCTTCCCTGTCAACGCACTGGTTCCCATCAAGGGCACGCCGCTGGGCGATCGACCCATGGTTGAGTTCACGAGCATGTTGCGAACTATCGCCACGGCTCGTATCATCATGCCCTCGACCATCATCCGCATTGCAGCGGGTCGCAAGACCATGTCGGAGGAGAAGCAGGCCTTGTGCTTCATGGCGGGTGCGAATGCTATCTTTACGGGCGAGAAGATGCTCACGACTGAGTGTAATGGCTGGGATGAGGACGCAGCCATGTTTGGACGATGGGGTCTTGAGCCCATGAAGAGCTTTGACAAGTCTCCCCAGCCCGCGCCTGAAGTTCGAGTTCTGTAACAGTCAAAATTGCTTAAATTGAGTCAAGTTTCAGCACACCATCCCCCCATGTAAAACTGCTATCGAAGTTTATCATGCCGGCCCACACCGGCTTGGTTCCGGTCGTGAGAATGACAAAAAAGCAAGGTTCAGTGATAACCGAGGGAGCGGATAGAACGCGATATCACATCACGTTAGCAGAGGCGCATGAGATGGAGATAACGAGGATAATCAAGAGATGTAGTGGAGCTAAAAGAATCATTCTCTGCGCGTGACTCGCGGATTTCTGGGTTTGTTAGGCCAATCTCGTGACGACCTACCACGAGAACAGTGATTAGTTAGTGTTGATGATCAGATTTACAGACGATTTCAAGTTTGAGTATTCGTAAAGATGTCATTTTCACTTTGACTTGAAGATATGCAATTGTACGTGTTCAGCAGATGGGGTGTATAAAAGTGCACCGAGTAGAAAGCGTCGAGTAACAACTGTTGCACTTTGTGTGACAAACCCTCATTGTATCAGGTAGACACAAAGATATATATCCCTCAAATCGTAAACATGATGGATAAATACTAGATTCTTGGTGACGTTTCTATTTAATGCCTGCAACATCATTCGCCCAAGCGTTGAAACGAACAGGTTACACGCACTTCACGGACAAGGGAATCAATGGCCAACGAATGACCAAGTGGCAGACTAGAATAAATATGCATAGGCCATGTATTAAGAGATCTAACAGCAACAACAGAAAACAAACAACAAACCAACTGCTACACAAATCTAATAGGTTCGTTCTTTGTAGTAGCAGAATTGCTGACCGTAGACCGCTTACACTTCCTTACACACCCTCAACTACACTACACCACACCCTGAGAGTTGAGCTTTAATCCAGGCGCATTAGGTCCCGGCCTCAGAATAAACCTCTGCCTATCAAGTGGCCCTTCTATGTCCTGTAGGCTCCCGATGGGGGATGCTATTGGCACCACTCAAGCCTGCTTCTGGTCCCTGGGCTGGGCTGCCCTGGCCTACTAAAGACCTTAGCCTGACCCTGAGCCTGGCACCAAGCCAAGATGGAAGGAGGGGCGCCAGACAAGAAAAAAGAACCCGCCGCCGCCTGAAAAAAGATGGAGGGTCTGTTCCCGACGCCGGGGAGTTAGAGTCTTGTCTTTCTTATCCAATGCATTAAATGCATGCCAATACATGAGCATACCGTCCATCACATATTAACTTGTCACTTCCCTCCCTTGTCTCACGAATAACTCTCTCCTCTTTTCTCTCTCACGGTGGAATCTACACTCCGGTTACTATCAGGGTCCTTTGAGAGTCTGCTAAACTTGTAGCAAGTTACCCATCGTATCTCTCGTTTGTCGCAAAAGCCTCTTCGGCCTTGCCGTTCCTTGCCTGATTCCACCCCCGCCGAGAACGCCCGAACATACAAATCCCACTGCGCAGCCTGGTTTTGAAATCCTCACTTGGACTTTTCATCCTTCCTGGCTGCCAACCTTATCTTACTTGATCCTCAGCAATACGTGTCACACTGCTGCCTCGTACAAAGGACTATCGACAACACAACACAACCGAGATTACGTGGCCGACCATATTTCCACTATCAACTTTTTCGAGCGACGACAATCATACAACAAATTAAAGCCTCTTCAACAAACCTCGACTTATTTTAACCCGTCCGACATCGGCCTTGCCTTATCAACATCATGAAGGGCCGTCCCGTTGATCAGCTCGTTTACGAGTGCATGTTCCCACGTCCCAAGAGCAACGACCCTCAGAACTTCCACGCTCTGCTCCAACGCAACCTGATCCCAGAGGTTCGCCAGGAAACCCACGCTTTTTACGGCCACCTCGACACACAGGAAGCCAAGTACCCCGGCCTCGACTACACTCACCATACCCATCGCATTCGTCTCTCTCGCTGGCCATGGCACAGACGACTCTTCCGCGCCTTTGACAGCCTCAAGCTTACCGGCGCCGAAATCGCAGGTTTGACCAAGTGGGAGGGAACAAAATGGGCCAAGGAAAAGTACGAGAAGGAGCAGGGATATGTTATTCATGACACCACCGCCGACGGCTTCCCTGACTGGGCCGATATCGAACACCTGCCCCGCGCCAACCGAGGTCATTCTGTTGAGGTCGAAGGCGTTGCTATTGACGATTTGTACAACGAAATGATGGAGGTCGAGAGCGAGGACGAGCTGGATAGTGTAGGTGTCGAACTGAACGAGCGCCTTAGGGATGGTGTTGCGAGACGTGACGCTGGAGACACTTCAGCTGTTCTTGACGAGGAATGGGAGCAGTGGCTAAAGAACGCCATTGAATCTGGCGAAATCAACTACTTGAACGAGCACATCTTTCACGATAGCGACACTGTCCCTGCCGCTCTCTTCCCTCCAGGCTTGCTCAGCACTGCTCGAGCTGGCCAGTGGCATGAGATTCCTGAATCTCTTCACCGCATCCTCCGCCGCACACTGCAGTCAGAGGACCCTAATCGTCCCCAACAGACGCAGATGCAGACACAACCACAGACATCGAGCCTGCGCTCTACCTCCTCCCTGCGGCGCCACGTGATTGACAACCGGCAGTGGCGTACCCCATGGACACGTCGCACCTTTTCAGATCTCCGTCTGCCTGTTGGCGATGCTAGTTCAGGACGAGCGGATAATTCCAATGCTTGAATATCAAGCTAGGAAAAAACGAAACGAAAATAAAAGAAAAAAATCACAAGAAAGGAAAAGCAGTTGTTCTTTACGAATTATACCCTCTTGGCTTCATCACTTTTTCGGTGAAGCCTTTTTATCCGACACAGCGATCAGACACACGCACGCCCGGCCTCATCATTGGGGCACGGAACCCGCAGCCTCAAATGCAAGCATGCCCAATGTTTCATCCCTGTCTCTGCTCAGACATCCAAGGGTAGACGACGAGCGACCGACCATACGAGACACACAAGACATCCATTACTTTTTTGCATTTTCTTTGTTTGCCTATCCACATTATGGATAATGGTGTCTGGCGATTGGGAAACAGTATACGGGGAAATAACTGTATGATTTTATGGGAATTGAACATTATGGATCTGGTTGATAGAATGTTTGTTGCTTGACAATCGATTCGATTGGTAAGGAGAGAGGCGGTTTCCGATCTGGTTCTCTTCGCCTTGGTGCTTGTGCTGGTCACATTTGAATCATACGGGCTTTTTGATAGATAGCCAGCGACTTATACCTGTTTATAAATGGTTTTCTATGTTAATTAAGTCCGCAATGTGAATGTTATAACTGTGATCTATGAAATATGGTACTTCTAAGCTTTGATCTCATGCGTCTAAGGACTACTTAACCTACAGAGGAAGTGTTTTCTCCAACGAAGATGATATCCCACACTCAAGCTCCAAGTATACTTACGCCAAGTCAAATGTATTACAGGAGTGATCTAGGTAACTGCTATCGTGCCACCAGAATTACCACTGAACATGTCACAAGGCTGGTTGGACCCATTCTTCACTTCACCATCACCACCGGTCCATACAGATATCAAATCGAAGACTCTACAGCATTAGCTACCTCAAAGTATCTCACGAGCTTGATTGAACTTGATGTTTTGAAAAAGTGAAAAAGTGAAAAAGAACAAGAATCTCACTGAAAATTGGTGAGATGGGCAAAAGAAAGGGCCTGACCGGGGATTGAACCCGGGACCTCTCGCAAACTTTAGTCCTCTGTTGAGAACTGAGATGTCAATCCCGAAGCAAGAATCATACCGCTAGACCATCAGGCCGGACACTAGATCCTAGTCATTTGTTAGTTCTCGTGTCCCAAAATTTGATCTATAAATGCAGCGATATCAGGCGCAAGACATGAGAATTGTTGAATTACAGGCTGGATTTCTGTATGAGACCGACGAAACAGTTGCTTTGATAGGAGAAATCTCTTGAATGATAGGAGTATGGCCAGTATCCCCCCCTTCTGCTAGGGGCTTCCCGTCATTGCTGTGTAACACCAACGTGGGCAACGAGAATCGCAATATGCAGCAAGCCTGGCTTATCGCTATCATGCTGTGCCTCGTTCATTCGGAAGATTTATTATGTTATCAAAGAGGAGTTGGTCTATGATATTTAAACTCCGATCGAAAGGATACTCTGGTGTGTATCGTTGTGCACTCTGTTTCTTACTCCGGTTTACAGAGGATTGGGCAAATCTCCCCAACTCGGCTCATTCACGATGCTAGGGAGACTAGACAGACGTATCACATACCACAACATTAAGATAGCCACTTAACATAAAACATGGTATTCATTACACTGCTACCAGAATCCAAAACGCCTCGCTAACATTAACCCTTTACCCACCCAGATAAATTATTAAAAACACTCCAATAGCTACTCCTCCGCCGTGTTCCCCGAAGATCTCCGAAGTGTGATGCGGATGCGATTCCCTTGTTTTGGTTTACTAGCTGGACGAGAGCTCTATCTCTCAGGCTCCAGATGCGACCACTCAGGAATCGCCTTGATCTGCTGCCACATGTACTTTTCGAGCTTGTTTGCCGACTTTGCATAGGGAGTGCTCTCGTTATTGTACTTCCTGCAGTTGTCGAAAACAAGCTTGGCATCTTTGATAAAATCTTCAGGTGTGAGATACTGATCCGCCTCAAGTTTGCTCTCCATCGTACTAAGATCCATAGGCTCCTTGATAACGTCATAGTAATCGGCCACATCATCGCGGTTAACAGGCACGAGGAATGGCCAGGCTGAGTTGTGATTCTGTAGATCGTTGAGTAAATGAAGAAGCTGGTTGTAGTTGGGTCCATGACGAGGTTGGCGGGCAAGCTCGTCCATATCAGGAGACCACCCTGATGCTCGAATGGCAGGAATATCGAGAGGGTTGATCTGGGTGATTCCATTCTTCCACTCCTTCGGCGGAGCGTGGATATTGTGCGATTTGGAGTAAGCGCGGATCTTGGCTTGGACGCATTCTTTCTGCTTAAGGAGCATGCGACCCATTTCGAGATATCGAATCCGCGGCAGCATTGAGCACTGCATAATCGTACCACCTTCGTAATCCTTGATGTAGCCCATCCAGACTTTCTTGTCGAGAGTGATTTCTTTTGTGAAACCTTGCTTTTTGAAGTAACCAATAGCGTAGTTGTCGGCATAAGTAAGGAAATGCATCACGTCGCTTGTCGCCTTGACATAATCCTTCAAGTGCGACATCAGATGGGCACCGTATCCCTTGACTTGCTGGTCAGAACTAATGGCACAGAAAACAATCTCGGCGAAACGGCGGCCCTTGAATGGGCGATATGTGATTCCTCCGACAACTTCAAGAGGCTTTTTGACGATGGCAATGGATAAGTGTGTTCGGTCGTAAACTAGTCGCGCAATATAATCCTTAGGCATTTTGGGAAGTTGTTTTTGAAAGATACACTTGAGTCCGGTTAAGATGATGAGTGATTCGCGCTCGTTGTCGTTGTTGACTACTCGGAATTCGATTTCGCCATTGCGCTCTTCGATGACGGCGGGCTATAGTAACGATGATGAGCGCATATAAGTGTGAGATCTTATGGATAAACTTACCTTTTCAGGGAATGGGATTCTCTTAATCTCCGGTTTCTTCTCTGGAGGCTCAGCGGAGTCATCTTGCTTGATGCGCTTCGATGGGGTAGGAGACGATGGCTCCTCCTCGGCTTTGCGCTTGCCGTCTAAATGGGATCTTGTGAGTAATTTCATCGTTGTCGCGGCCTCGTAATTGACAAGACTTACTCTCTTCTGACATGATCGCAACAGTAGAACTGTAGGATTCTTCAACTTTGAAGGGTATTTAGGGAGCAAGTGAGTTATGATAGAATGGAGTATCATGACAGCGGAGTGAAGCGCGTCGAGAATGTCCGTGCACTGCTTATGTCATTCAATATGGGGACCTTTAGTTTGAGGCAGGAGCTGACAGGGGTATATGCCACTAAACCCTATTTGTCTATGGACACGATGCGCCATCGTAAGCTCATGAAGCTTCCCCAGAGCATCTCCTAACACAGCAGTTTGTCAAGTCAACACATTCACCTCAACTCCTTTACCGCGACACGTCAATTCCTCGCGATAAAACATTCTTCGCCCTCTCAAACCACAATCCATTCTTCTTTCCAATTTAGCCTATGGATTCTTCGCTGCCTGAGGTCTGGCAAGCTGCTGCTGGCAGTCCCTTCTTCCCCTCTGTGAGCAAAGGAAGCCAGTTCTGGGTCGCCTTTTCCTTGCTGTTCCTTGGATTCTCCCTGACCGGCGTCTTTGCCCTGAGTAAGTGTCACAGACTATTATATCTTTTCTGCCTGCTGACTGATTCCAGACCGCACAATCGTCAACGTTCCCGTACTAGGCATTCCAGCTTCTATCGCCATTGCGTACGTTTTCCATCGACCATCCATCATCTTCTCAATTACTTACTTTCGACAGTTTCGGAGTGGTCTATATGTTCTGTGCGGTCGGAGTCTACGTCTAAGATACCCAAAAGTCCTCATTTCGATCGGTTTCGTGTAAAATAGTTGGAGCAATCAAGATAAGACGCTACTACAGGCGCCTATTGCTTTTCTGCCAGTTTTCGTACTTTTATCCACATCTTTTCCTCAATCTACCACAGTCGCAATCTCGAAATGGCTCCAGACGCTCAGCCAATCTTCCGCGCGGTTGCGACTTCGACAAGGCCACTGTATCAACTTCTCAGATGCATCAACTTTGCACCCAGAGTTCATGTTCAAATTACAGAGGATGGTGTTCGTTTCGCTGCTGACCATGCACGGGTGATGCAAGGTCAGTCTGACAGCTATCCTTAGGATAGACCACAATTGACAATCATCAGGAGTTGCATTTCTCGATAAAGCTCTCTTCTCATCATATACAGCCAATCTGCCTGCTCAGGATGGTGACAATCCACCTGAGCTTCCCAATTTTCAACTTTCTTTATCTTCTGTTCTCGAAGTACTTCAAATATTTGGAGCCGTAGACGTAGCCACACGGGCTCAAAAAGCAGACCAGGATCCTTATCGCAGCAATCTTCGGAACTACCGGCCTGATGCTTTCAGCAACCAAACTCTTGGTATTTCTGGCACCTGTACTCTGCAGTATGGCCAGGAGGGGGATCCATTTAAGATCACCATCGAGGAGTCTGGCGTTAAAACAACAGCGTCATTGACAACCTATCTACCAGAAATACCTGATGATATTCCATTCGACCGCAATGATCTGGCCTTCAAAATCATTATGCAATCCCGAACACTACTCGATTCTCTTGCGGAGATTTCCCCAACAGCCCCGACGAAATTAACAATCACAACCACTAAAATCTCGCCATTTCTATCTCTTGCTGGTGTCGGAGATCTTGGAAGTTCTGGAGTAGACTTCGCTCGTGGAAGAGACCTTCTCGAAACCTTCAATATCCAGGAACGCTGGTCGCAGGCCTACAAGTTTGACTTTATCAAGAATTCAACAGAAGCAATGCGAATTGCCACTAAGGTTAGTTTACGAGGGGATGGTCAGGGGGTACTGAGTCTGCAATTCATGGTAGATATTGAAGGTGGTAAGCGAAGCTTTTTGGACTTTCGGTTCGTTCCATTCATCTCGCACGATGAGGATGATGATGAGGCAGAAGAGGCTGGTGAAGCTGACTAGATAAATTGACTGGAAAAGTTCTTCATACAAGGACGTTAATATGAAGAAATTGCCTCACCCAACCACTCATGTCTCACTTGCCTTTTTTGACTGCTACCTGTCCTGTCTTGCTACTGGTTAGTTGTGAAACCTTTTTGGAAACCCCTTGTCTCCCTTGATCCACCAACGGAATGCAGCATGAAGCAATCTGGAACATCCCCTACGTCGAAGCTATCGTGACCGGAATGAAGGATCCAGCCTCCTCTGGCATCATTACATCTATCGCAGAATCTGTGTCTGCGATGCTGTATTGAAAAAGGGGCCTCATCCCACCTGTTAATCTATGTTCAGCTTCTTCAACATATTTCATATTTCAACTCCATCGTTATCTTCAGTCCCATCATCATCTGCCAAACCTGCTGAGCAGAGTGACACTTTTTCTTTTCACCATGAGTCAGTGCAAAGAGATCAAAATTATCATGTCCTCTAAGCCATTCACCACAAACACCACCGCCACCACCAAGAACATCAGAAAGACCTCGTGTCATGACTGTTTATTCGGCCCTCTCAAGTCATGGGCAAAGACGAGATTTGGAAAGAAGCCTACATATGTTGAGCTGGATGACGGCTTTGAGCCTTTACTCGATGAGAAGAGAGCACCTATGCCTACCTATGCGGTATCCAAGATCATGCGCATCGCTATACCACGAACGATTAAACGACACAACCGTCTGCCTTGAGGAAAACATACCAACAAAACACTCGATCATGATTCAGCAAATTCTTTTATTCGGTCTTCTAAAGGCTTATTATATGATACGAAAAACACGAAACTAAATATGAGAAACGAGAGACATTTTTATGAATTACAGACGTATGGGAGTACTGCAGGTCGGTTTATTAATATGAGTTATTGGAATTTTATTCTGCAAATGAATTATGGTTATGGAATACATAAAAAGGAGTTTGACGAATTTGCATGGGAATTGGTCTATATTTAGGGTCTTTTGAATATATGGATATTATATTTACATATCATTCTTTATCTTATAACTCAGCCTGCGGGCCAGTCCATGAGAATAGATTGGGGTCCAGCAATGTTGGATCTTGGCCTGTAGCTTCTCGTGATGCCAATCTTGACAACTATATGGAAACCCTGGCAAGAACTTGGGTCCAGTTCTGTTTCATGTGGTAGAAGCCCACTTACACCAGTGTCTGACATGGCTCGGAATATCACTAGTATGAGAGAAATACTTCACTGTGTTCCTATCGCCGGGTGTCCGGGTCCGCGGAGAGCTCGTGCCAATTGTGAGGAATAATCCTGGGAGTTTGCCTTGAGCGTGAGGTTGAGAGGACGGAAACGAATTTACCGAAACATGGATTATGGTTAAATTGGACTCAGCTGAGTTCCGTTGAAGAATATAAACGGATACTGTCCCAGGGATTGACCTTGGTTGTTGGGGGCTATGGTCCTTGAATGCTTAAATTGTTAACAAATATCAGGAAGATAAACATCTTGCATGTACCTACGCCAGGGATCCAAATATAGAGTACTTGTTTCATTGAGTCTCTATTGGCCCCCATGACATGTTCTGCATTATTGAGGCTCAGAAAGTGAATTTTAACTGCCGCGTCCGAGAAAGGCAGGTGCGCCAGGAACGAACAAGGTTATTATCCCATCCATCACAGGCAGGATCGATTCCTCCCGTGGAAGAAGAACCCACCAAATACAACATCACTCCAACTGCGCCACGCTTTGGCTGTCTATCAATTATTCTCTCATTGTGACTTCAAGCTCTTGTCAATTAATCTTCACCGCTGTCTTGACGCAGTCAAATCATTCTGATACGATGCCATGACTCTCCTAATGCAAGAAGCCGTCGGTGGTTCACCGCTCGGAATTGGAATGAAGAAACAATAAACTATCGGATCTAGGTACCCATCGCTAATCGTCCGCCCGTCAATGCACGCGGGAAACTTCCCTTTCCCGTTCTCCACCTGAAGATCAGCATCAGGGCCCGGTAGATCAGCCGTCCATTGCCAAGACAATCATTCGACACGATATAGGCTCCTAAGGCATTTCGAGTTACCGCCGACATCAGAGCTCTCTCTTCAGGTTAGCACTGCAGCCTACCGAGTTCTAAGGGTTACAATGCATACGCAGGCTGACAGGAGGATCGTTTCTACTACTGCATCATCCCGCTCCGCCTGATACCCACTGCTGTGATGTTACAGGACGTCGTGGGCTGTCGACTTGTCTCCGACGTCAAGACACTTTATCCAGACGGGTAGCGACTTTGATGTGTTGTACGGGCTCTTTCCTTGGGTCCGGTTATTCGATATCCGGAACTTGAATGAACCACTGATGATGAGTGAGTGGTTGGGAGTTGTTGCACAAGCTGGATACGATGACCGGGCCAAGACATTCGAAGCAAGACATCTTGTTTCCTGCTTCTCGCAGGCCTGAACGAACAACCCTCAATAGCATCAGCCACGACCAACCAACAGCCAATTAACACGACAGTAGACAATATACAGATTGCCTGTATTGGTAGGACTTTGCTTGCATGCATCTGGGGGCCATTGTTGCTCCACAACACCATGATTGAGGATAGGCTTACAGACAGAAGAAGGATCACACGAGTTCACCAAGAGTCCATTCTCTGAGTGCATCGCACCGTATGCGTCCTGAGGTATATATCTACTGATAAATCCTGCGACATCTGGGCAGTTGAATTGTTTGCAGGCCAAAATCGCACCTGGTTTCCGCATTCGGGTCCGTTGAACTTTAGACCCGTCTAAAGCAGCCTCGAATCCGGCGACACAGAATGAGATCGCATCCACTCATCTAGAGCATATACTTACCAACATTTGCTCGACAAACTCTCTTTCAGCGCACTTCTTTCATATTCTTCTTTCTTTGCTTCTGAACTATGTGAAACCGTTTCTCGAATTCTCTTCGTTCCATCATCTGCCTTTGTCGGGCAAGCCAAGATGCCTGGCTTGATAAGGCGACTTATAACTCCTCAACGGTCACTACCCAATATCCGAGATCGGGATCGTGGTCGCGATCGCCATGAAGACCTCACAGATTCATGCGAGGACTTGAGTTCTTGTTGCGCCAAGAAGTCTTCACAAAGAAAGTCCAACAAGGCCAAGTCACGTCTTCCAGTTCCAAAGAAAGGTGCAACACCTGTTACTATTCAAAGGATACCTGACGTACACCGTGTTGCGAACGCAGCTCCCCCTCTACCAACTCCTCGTTTACGCGCACCATCGATCAGCTCTTCGCGCTGTGAGGGGCGAAACGCTGCCCTTGAGGCTCTCACAGGTAATGATCCCACCAACAGATGGCCTGCACCTGTTCTTTGTCCAAGTGAGCACGGACAAGCCCACCCACATTCCTACCATCACTCCCATTCCTCCCAATCATCTCGGTACCTGCGCCCCCCTCGCTCCAGGAATGGTCCTCTCGGCCCTGTCCATGTAAACGACAATAGCACACACCTAGCAAGAACCTCGCCAAAGACGTCGATTCTTTCTTTGTCGGACCATGGCGCTGATGGTTACGAGGCCGGGCCAACCACCTGGCAGCCTGCCCAGCCCATGTACGACGGTCAAAGCCTTGGCTCGTCATCAGACAGCGTTGACCGTCTATTTCGTGAGACTGATGAAGCGTTCAAAGCTCTTGGATCTGCACTTAGAGAAACCCAACGTGCATCACAGCTATCCGTTTTACCTTCACCACCCTCACCACCAGGAATTCCAAATTTTCACAAACATTCCAAATCCATGCCGCTGCCCACTGGCTTTCAAAAACATTCGAGATGGAGAAGGGAGGATTCGCCTTCGGCTTCATCTCAAAGATCATCTCCAGACAGAAGAACATCAGTGGTGAAGAAACCTCAAAGGAAAAAGCATAGTCTAGTAGGGACTTCATTTTCGAAAGCGGCGATCCGTACGCCAAGATGGACTTTGTCGGAGAATGTGACGGACATTCTCACAGGCCAACGTTTCAGACGCATCGAAGCTGATGAGATGTTAACACCGGATCGCATCGAAGCACTGCGCAAGAAACGAGAGGCTGCCCAGCAATTGGACGACGAGCGCACTACCACTAGGGAACGGTACTCTATCGACTCCGTTCGCAGTGCAGAATCAGATAACTCCGAGACAGACGTTGAGCCATTCCATCTGGACGAATTGGCATCTCGAATTAGAGCGAGACAGGCTTTGGAGAATCCGGCGGTTTCGGTCGAAGTAACGCCTCCTGCCCCAGAATTGACTCCTGATCTGAATATTGTTTCCCGAGACGTTTCGAAACAGGCCTCAGGGGAGGGGGAAGATGAGTCAATTGCGAGTACCAAAGATAAAAGTGACGCTTCGCCAGAGGCCTCACCCCAAGTGCCGGTCAAGAATCCTGCACGTTTCGGTGCAGAGGCTTCACAAAAGCTACCATCGATTCCCGAAGTCATGGTGGCGGCGACAGCGAAAGACGAGGCAAACATTGAGCCTCCGGCCAGCTCACCGGCCACTGAAGCCACTAATATGAAGATGGAAGAGAACGATGAGTACTTCTACCTCAAGAGTACGCCTTATACTCTCACAAAACCATCTTTCCGTCATGGGCCTATCACATTAGCTAAAGCTGAAGTTGGCAAAGGAGTCAAGACCATGGACGACACATTAGACTGGACAGCGTTCCAGATGGCGATCTTGGGAGGAGCCGGAGATTTCCTTCAAGACATGTCGAGCGAGGAGGACACAAAGCAGGTGGAGGAAATCACGTCGTGGTTCGATACGTTTGGCTTTGAGACATATGGGGTGCTGATACCCGAAGACGTGCCAGAGCCAGAACCCGTGGCTGTCTCTGTGTCTGAGCATACGCCGTCAATGAGGTCTTCGGGTCACAGCACTCTCTCGTCGACGCCATCAACCATCGACACGGACATTGACCTGCCGATCCCGGTGGGTGCAGAGTTCCCCTCCGGGTTCTGGAACGCCCCGGCGCCCGGCCAGACTCTCGACAAAGCTAAGTTCTATAACAGCACAGGGCTAAAACGATGGGTTGGCGAAGGACGGCCCAAACGCCCTTCGTCGCACAGCTCGGAAGACAGCCTACCACCGAGCCCGATGATGCCTCTCGTGGTTCATATGGGCGCTGGCGAAGCCGATATTCCGGATACGGTACCGATGGGTTATAACCTAGGGCACGACCTGCCGGACTTTCTGAAGTGGGAGGCGGAAAACGTGTATGCGTCTGAGTTCAGTATATCACCATGAAGGTGATTTATTTTTGTTCTTTTGTTATTTGCGGTTCATTTGGCTGGGATGCCTGATACATCCCATGCATGAGATTCATTTTGACACGTTTACCATATACCAAAGCATTGACGGCGCTGAAAGCATTTATAATAGATGATCAACATATTGATACGAAGTATCACGTTATATAGATGACATAAAGAATTGATGTTTGATGTTTGAGATTCTCCCATGAAATGAAGATTGTATTGTTGGTGTTTATGAGTTTGGAGTAGGGAGTACTGTACACTGATGAGTGAATGTGGCTATAGCCAATCAGTTTCGCAGATTCACATGCAACTCCACACAATGTTTATTCATCTCATGCGACCCTTGCGACAGCATCTCATCAACTCAAGACTCAAGAAGACAGAGAAGAATTAGCGACACAAACGTTACCTATTCTTTTTCTATCACCGAATAAGGATCTGTACAAAGACCTTTCTTTATTTCTACATCACATTCACCAAGTCATCAAAACAAAAGCCCTTTGTTTTCATCACCTCTTTAAACCAAAAACAACTTCACTACCACAACCACAAAGAAACCACAATGCTCAGACGACCTGCAACAACTCTACACATCACCTCAGAAGACGTCGCTTCTTACGAGGACCGCCGTGCTCGTGAAGCCCTCGTCGCAGCACAACAAGCGCGAAGAGCCGCTGCTGTGGCGGCTGCTCAGCAGAGTCAGGCTGATATGGAGGGCGTCCATCAGGTGCTGCAGGAGAGGGAGAGGGATGACGATGTCAGAAGGGTGAGGGATGAGAGGATCGGTGTTTCGAGGAGAAGATGAGTTGAGGCAGTGGTTACGAGTTATGCCTATGATGGGCTTGGGATTGATACAGCCGGTCATGATTCTTAGTTGACCATTTTGCATGATGAATAGATTTGTTCATTCCTATTACTTTTATCGTCTTGTTTATACATATAAAACAGCTCTGCCAGAGCGCTATGTGGCTATTAAGCAAAGCCTGCTTTTTCAAGAACATCAGTATGTTCTCCATACCCAATGTGAATTATTATATACAGAAAGCTTGAGGCTGTTCTGACCAAACCATTACTCCTCCCAATGGGCGTTATTTATCCTCTCCATGCAAGATATGCGAAAAACGAGACTGTCATCCAAGCAACACGCCATGTTGTTGTCCATAATTCTCGACCGATTACACCAAGAGCTTTCTTACCACCAATACGTTGATCTTGAACACTTGTGCTGAAGAGATTATCGTCGAGATGAATTCGTGGTCCGCCTGCAGACCCCCAGCCCCAGCGCTTATCGTTACGACCTCCACGTCGAGCTTGCCATCGACCCGAGGCCTGAACAGGAGATGTACTTCGCCCGTTACGGGGTGCTGCGGCTGATAGACGTGAGGGTAGGTGATGCGCTGAAGTACCTGAAGATGTGGTGTTGCGATATGACGATGCCTCAGGGGGGTCCATCTTGTCTTTATACATAGGCAGAACAGCCGAGGGCGATGGCTTCTCGGGCTCGAGAGCGAAAGGGGTGAGTGAGAGCGCAGGTACAAGCGCAGCGCGAACGACCAGAAGAACAAGCGTTGCGACGATAAAGACGATATACTCCATATATGTATGGATCTGGTTGGGCAAGAGACACAAATGTGTCTGGATCGTCTGCTCTGGTGCTCCAGGTAGTGGTTTGCCCTGAGCATCAACAGGGTTGTACATGCTAGCCATAAGAAAACCTGGTGTAGGAACACCCATGGCCATGCTCATACTCTTGACGGTGATTTCACGCACGTTCTCTTTCGCATCTGAGTGCACAACTTCGCAGTAGTCATGATCATCACCTGAAAAGACGTGCTTGATGTTCCCAATACTCTTAACCAGCTTGACCGAGTCATCCTCGTTGAGCACGTTCTGGTACTGATATCCACCAACGACGCTGAGAGCATTTCGGTGATCTGGGAATACTGGCTCCTTCTGACCCTTAGGTGGTTGCGTTGGCGGCCAATGTTCTCGCTGAGGTCCGCAAGGTGTTCCAGGGGCTCGATATAGCGGGACGTGAGTAAGAAGAATCGTAGGAAAGTCGGGGCCGTCGGTTTTCTCCGCTTCAGGGTTGTTGCCCCATGTTGGCTTCGACCTTTCCAGCTCCTCAACGTGGTGAGGATATCGCAAACCTCCTTGGAGATCGTAGTAATGGCGTAACTCCTCCTCAGCCGCTTTTCTCTTCATAGTTTTGACACCTTCCAAAAACTCATTCACAGGCCCATAGATAGGCTGTAAATCATGCTGGTTCTTCCACTCTGAAGTATCCGCGCTCAAAGAGACCGAATCAACAGATACAATCGTATGGTTTCCAACAACATCAACACGATTCACATCTCCAAAGAATGCGCTGAATCGATCCCGCACTGAAACCTGGACCTGCGCACCAAAACCCAAGTCGTGGTTTCCAGGTAAACTCGTCACCAGTTTTCGCCCACGCTGCCAAGCTCCAGGCGCCTCACCTCCGTCATTGAAGTGCTCAAAGAAGATATCTCCAAATCTCTCATACTCGTGTAACCAGAAATCCTCGCCGTACTTGTCGTGCCACGTCTGAACCAACTTCTTCTCCTCCTTTGACCGGCCACGTCCCCATTTCGGATCGACGAACTTGCCCTCGCGCGTCTTCCATTCGCGGCCGCCGTCGAAAAGATCGCCGAGGAAGAATAGACTATCGGGGTGTAATCGGCGCTGCATGGCTCGGTAACCACGTCGTAGGTAGTTGTCGGTGATGAGGACTGTGAGAGGGTTGAGAGGCCAGGGACGACCTGGGTAGGAATGAGGATCGATTATTTGAGGATCGGCGACGAAGACGAGGTGGTGAGGTTTCGCATCTTTCGGCTGCATATCGTCAGTCAGGTCTCTTCCAAGTCGCATATTGCACTGAGAGAAGCCAAGCATACCCATCTCTCCCAATGATCCCAATCGCAGCTCGCAACCTTGCTATTAAACACCCATCTCTCGCCATACAACAGCACTACCATCCAGAACAAGACCACCAAATGTGGAAAGCTCAACAACCGTCTCGAGGTAAGATTCCGCCGTAATCTTCGCGCAATTCGTTCGCCCGTCGATGCAGCTAGACGCTTTCCCGGTCCAAGAGCCCATGTTCTCAGCTGACGCACCGTTTGCTGTGCGTTGACTGATAGCACATGGCCTATTGACTGGATGTTCCTTGGGACCTTGGAGTTGGTGTGATACTGGTATTGGCGCGACATGTTGGCGCCATGCCCTTGCTCCCACTATCTACAGCCTCTCTTCTAGGCTTCCCACGCGTGAAATCGTCGTTGTATCGTGGTTCGTTCACAATGTGGTATTCGTCGTCGAAGTAGCCTTTGTTGATCGACGTTCCAGGGAACAAGGAGGCCCCTTTGGTACAAATGACGATGTTTCAGTCGAACAATTTATCGCCTCGTTTCGTACTCTTTCCAATTTGGCCTTGTCGCAACAATTCGCCGTCTTTTCGTGTCCAACGTCGTACGGATTATGAAAGGAGTGAATAGAGTAAGAGTCAGGATCGCGTGTTGTTAACTTCGTCTCCTCATGAGGACAAATACGTAGCTTGACCTTCCTCATGCGTGCCTCCACATGATTCGCCAACTTTCTATCTTCCGGCCTGCATGATGAAATTCCGGGGCCTGGTTGGGGCTTGCTTAGAGCTCGGATCCCCGCTATTCAGGGGTTTTAGCGGCTGATAAACTGCAGTGTCCCTTGAACTGTCTCAGGGGCAAGTCTAGGTCGGCCGATGGAGTCAGCTGTTAAGAATCGTCACAATAATGAAAGGATCGGGTAACAGAAATAGGAGAAAATTAAAAGAGATCAACGCTCATTTTTCATTCATAGCCTGAGCTAAAATATACACGCCTTTTAGATGGCTGTATTTACACTGCTAATTTTCCCATGATAACATATCCCAAAACTCCGTCCGAATGCCGAGGGCATATAAAAAGGCTATGTCAAAATACAAAACCATATGCTGAAATAATAGACACACAGATAGTCCTACCAGACTTATCTCACGCGGTAAACATCAATGTCATCATCGTCGTCTTCACTATAATCGTCATCCTCTGGAGGAGGTCGGCTCTTGGGCTTTTTGCTGCGGAAGCTGAGCAGTCTCTTAAACCCACTCGGCTCCACAGGCTCAGCACCTGCAGCTTGAGCTGCGCCTGACTCCGGTTCTGGTACATCTTGTGCCTCATTATCGGCGTCGTAGTCATAGAACAGCTTCGGTACGAGCAGTCGGTAAGGCTTGGTGATACCCGTTGGGTCCTTGGGGTTGATCTCGACGTTCAGGGTGATGTCGAGCCCACCCTCCAGATCAACGGCATACTTGTCAGCCTGCTTCTTCTGCTTGGTCGAAAGGCCTGTAGGTGTCCTGTAAAAGTTTCCAGGACGGGGCGCAGGAGGGATATAGCCCACAGCCTCACGCGAGTGTGACATGGCTCGCGATCCCACGGTTTGAGATCGGCGAGGCTGGGACATGAAATATGAATCGTCGCCCTCAGTGTATTCGTCGTAGGCAGCTCCGCCTCGAATACCTGAAGGACGAGCGCCTCCTCGTCGAGGAGACTGGGGCTCATCCCAGTACTCCTCATCATCATAGTCATCTTCGTCTCCCCAGGTGCCGTTGATGCCACCATCATCAGCAGCACGACGCTGACTAGGTCGTCGAATGAAGCTGAAGAATCCAGCTTTCTTGGCATCAGGAGCCTGGTCGACAGACATGGATCGCTGAAGCTTGGCTGGGGGAGGTCTGCCCGAGTCTGTCGAGTTGCGTCGCGACAAGCTGCGGAACAGACCACCACCTCCTCCTCTGGTGACAGGAGGTCGAGGACCGCGAACAGTGTCTCTGTTTAGGTCAGGGCGATTGTCCGAAGATGTCGACTTGCTTCTAGAAAGGGACAATCTTCGGAGAAGGCCACCGCCTTGAGGCTTAGGAGGAGGGCTTGGACTTCTACCATCAGAAGATCCAGGAGGTGTTGGTGGAGGCGTAGTTCCAGGCTGCCACTCGCGGATCGCGCACCAGTTTCGGTGAGGGAGGAGATGCTTGTTGTTTCGCGGCTTGCCATCAACTCCTTGCTGGAAGAGGGGAATCATGTCCTCGTCAGTCTGCTTGTCGAAGTGATGCACCTTGTTCCTCTTGTTCAGCACATCAGCCATCAGATCAGGAGGTGGTGTGTTGGCAATGGCTGATGAGATGATGTTGGGCATGTATCGCGGGTCTTTGTGTTTGGGGAGACCCAGCTTGGGGTTGGAGTAGAATTGTCCAACAGCCGCGAGATGGACGTCACCACTGAGGATAGTAACTCGCAGAGACTTGTCAATAGCCAGATCCTGCAAGTCTTCGACTACAACAGCTCGCTCCTGTTTGTGGTTCTTGGCAGTCCAATGGTCGTTGAGATCATCCAAGACCTCAACACCGCCATCAATATTGTTCAGAGCCTTGCCAAAGACACCGGTCCTGCCGAGTGCCTTGACAGGATCCATCAGTCTGGATGTCAAGCTATAGTCACGTTAGTATTGAGCTTTTGGAAATCACTCAGGAAGTCACTCACATATTCTCCAACCAGACCAGTCTGGGGTACGCAATAGGAATACCCAGGAGCACCAGCAAATGTTCAACCTGCCCACGACGAACCTCAGCGTAAAGACGGTTCATGATCTTCTCCCATGTCTTGTCAGAGACAACGTCATGCTCTGTTCTTTCTGTGCGGCAATCAACCGCAAGAAGTCCAACCCTTGAACCAACAGACATGAACAGACTGCGACCAAGTTCGCCGATGTATG